ACGTGAAACTCTCAGCTTTCTTGCTCTGGACTGGATGGAGGAGCCTGCAGGTTCTTTCCTTGCCGATTTTCAGAATCAGCTCCTCAGCATCATCCAAGGTGAGGAAGGAGCAGAGAGGTGGGACAGGATCTCAGGACACACGATCAAGCGTGCGGCCCGAAGGACAGGCCCGACGCCCAGCCATGGACCCTGTGTGAGCTCCGTGTTTGCCTGTATTCTTCCATGAAGGCTGTGGGGTGAGACAGCCTCCTACTTGGTGCAAAAGCAAACGGAGCTGCCAGGGAACAACAGAAGGCATGCGTTTGACCCACAGGGCGACAGTGAGGGCACTCTGCTTCCCTTTGGTGCTCTGGATTGCTTTTGTTTTTTCAAGATTTATTTATTTTCATTGCAAAGTCAGATATACAAAGATGAGGAGAGATAGAGAGAAAGACTTTCCATCTGATGGTTCACTTCCCAAGTGACTGCAATGGCTGGAGCTGAGCCAATCCAAAGCCAGGAGCCAGGAGCTTCTTCTGGGTCTCCCATGCAGGTGCAGGGTCCCTAGGCTTTAGGCCATCCTCAATTGCTTTCCCAGGTCACAAGCAGAGAAATGGATGGGGCTGCTGGGATTAGAATCGGTGCCCAAATGGGATCCTGGCGCACGCAAGGCAAGGACTCTAGCTGCTAGGTTACTGCGCTAAGTCCTGTTGTTGCTTTTACAAAAAGCCATCAGACCACTCCACCCACTGAAGCTGGTCTAGGAGGAAGGAATAAGAGAAGATGGAGGATGGAGGAAGCAGGTGGCTCTACTTGTGTGTGTGTGTACCCATGCGTGCGCAGTGGGGGAGGCTGGGTGGCAGGAGGGCGTCCACCACTCATGGGTCTTGCTGTCAGGCTGGATGCCGGGCTGCCAGCTTAAGGCTGCTGAACAAGGCTGCCAGAGAGGGAACTGAAGGTGAGCTGGAGTGATTCCCAGGCCCTGGGCCCCCACGCCCCCACCAAGGTGTCCTGGCTGGGAAAGCAAATTTCTTGAGTGAGAGGCCTTCCCAATGGCCTGGCCTGGTCCAGGAAGGAACAGGACAGTGGCCCTTACACTGCTGTGGAAGGGAAAAGTCCAGATGGTGCTGCAAGTAGCTGTGCGTGGCCCCACGCAAGGCTGGTGCGGTAGGGGTGGAGTGGCCGTTTTTCCAGCCTGGCCTCATGGGGGAGGTGCAGAGGAGGACTCAGCTGGGTTCTCAGCCATCAAGGAGGCTTGGGGACCTAAGATGACGACTGGCCATCATGAAGGGACAAAGTGTATTGGTGTTACTCCCCTAAATGCCTTGCTCTCTCCCTGGCCCTTGAATCAGCATTCCCAAGCACTGGCTGCCAAACAAGTGGCTTTTCCCCTTAGCAGCCTCAAGGCTAGTGGGGAGATGCAGGAATAAACATGGCACTGCAGCAGAGAGCAGGACAATTCAAGCCCACGCACTGTGCCACGGGAGCCCTGTACCAGGCCACCAACAAGGCTTGGGCTGAGACGCAGCAGCTGGAGCTCAGAGCTTCTGGGGTTTTCTGCTGGACCAAAAAAACTTCTCCAGTTGCTGGCCCAAGTGAGCAAAAAGACCAGCAAGAAAGGAGACGGCCACTGTGAGCAGCACCGATAACACTCCTGACATCAACATGTGCCCGAGGCTGATAAAGCAGGTGGAAAAAGGCAGCCACTTCCTAAGGAAACCATCTTTTTAAAATTAAAATATTTACTTATGGGGTTAGCACAGTGGCTCAACAAGCTAGTCCTCCATCTTACAGCACTGGCACTGTTTTGTATCCTGACTGTCCCACTTCCCATGCAGCTCCCTGCTAATGGACTAAGACAGCAGCAGAGGATGGCTCAAAGCCTTAGGATCCTGCACCCAGATGAGAGACCCAGAAGAAGCTCCTGGCTCCAAGCTTTGGATCAGCTCAGCTCTGGCTGTTGTGGCCATTTGGGGAGTGAACCAATGGATGGTAGCTTTCTTTTTCTATGTTTCTCTCTGTCTCTCTGTAAATCAGCCTTTCAAAGAGAAAAATCAAATCTTTAAAAACTATGTATTTAAGCAGAGTGATCCAGAGAGAAAGAAAGAGAGACCTTTCATCTGCTGGTTCATTCTCCACAAGGCCAGGGCTGGGGCAGGGTGAAGTCAGAGGCCAGGAGTCTGGAACTCCCTCCAGGTCTCCCAGGCACCCTGGCAGGAAGTCAGTTCCAGAGCGGAGCAGCTGGGACTCCAACAACCACTCCCATATGGGATGCTGGTGTCACAAGTGACGGATTAACCCACTGAGTCATAACCCATTCCCTAAGATGGAAAATTGTCAATACAACTGGTAGAATCACGGAACAACAATGCTAGCCCACGGGATCTCAACGTTCAACATCTAGCAACACAATTCTGGGAAGAAAACCAGAACTCCCAAGCCAGAGGGGAAGTGAGATTTGAAACACGAACTGCGGGCCTGGGCCCTGGTCCATGAGGAACCCGCAGCATACTGAGTCAGAATCCAAATGGCCCAAGAGTGGAAGTCTGGAATCCCAGGGCCACTCCCTCCCCTGCCCCACTGAGTGTCAGCCCAGGTGCTGGCCGCCACCCCACCCACCCCCAGCAGCAGACATGCGCCATGCCCACAAAGCTGTGGGTATCTGGCCCCATCCGCAGGTGGTTCTGGGAAGTGTCTTAGGGATTTGATGGTAGAAATCTACAAAGAAACTCCGCACAGGAACTAATCCCTGAATGGGGGACCGGAAGAAAGGGGGGTGCGGCTGGTCAGCTTCAGCTTGTGTGCGCCCGTGGCTCTGGGTCCATGGAGAAGTGACACTCAGCAACGCCTGTCCAAGAATGTCCCCATGGGAAGGGCAATGTCCCAGGGAGACCAGGACAGAGCAAGATTCATTCTTAGATCCAACTCCAAGTCTTGAAGGAAGAAAGATTCTAAAATGAGTTGTTTATTTTTAAATAGTTCACAGAGGCAGGGAAAAAAATGTCTTTTGTGCAGGGAAAGATTAAGCACAGTGAGAGCCATGGGCTGGGGGAGGGGAGGAGGTCCCATGGCGACTTGCTGCCTCTGGTCCCTCAGAAAGCTATTCGTAGTCTGGGACTTTTGAAGAGTCCACAGCTGGCCAAGGAGGGGCTCCACCTCTAAGTTGGGGTGGTGCCAGGCTGGCTAACCAGTTCCTCTTAACTTTAAAGGAAGCTCTTTCTTCCCTTCCCTCCACTGCCTCCCAGTATAGATGGGTCTGTGGAGACAACCCTCTTCTTGGCTGTGAGTTCCCACAGTTATTTACCTGATGAAGGTGGGTAGGGTGCAGTGGGCAATGCCAAGAAAATGAGCATAATCGCAAGCGAGACAGATGTGCCCTTCTGCTGCCCCTGGGAGCCCAGATAAGACGGGACAGTGCTGGCTCCCAAGGGAAGCCAGAGCTTGGGCTGGAGCTGAGCGGGGGTTCCTAGAGCATGGGGGTGCCTGTGGGACTTGCCCTGGGGTGGGGAGTTCCCCTTGGGAGGTCCCCCGGCCCAGCACTGGGGGCTAGGGGTTTTGCTTCTGGTCTTCCCTAGCCTCCTGTGAGATTAGGGGAGCGTGAGTTGACTGGTTAACTGCACCCCAGCTACCGTGGCAGGCCCCAAGGTCACGGACTTCCCCCGGGAGGCACCGGGCCCTAGCTGGGAGGATCACCAGTCTGACCCTGCTCACCAGCTGTGGGGCCTCGGGTCAACATTTCACAGTTCTGCACTTCAGCTTTCTCATATTCAGACTCGAAACGGTGGATGCGACACCGGCTAAAGATCTCCTTCCAATCCCCAAACCAAGAAGTTGACAGCAGCCCAAACTTCCTTCTTCCCCCAGGAGCGCAGTGGCTGAGAGCGAGCTGTCAGCAGCACCCTCTGGGGTTTCTCTCATTTGTCCCAACAGGCTAGCACTTCTGTATTTTGTGTCTGCGCTTCACACCACGGCCCCCTGTGAAACCCTTCCAGCAACTGGCTTAGCTGTCTGGGCTGCTCCCTCTCCTAGGAAACAGATTCCAGGCTCCCAATTCCTCCCTACTGCCAATCTGGAAGTGCAGGTCTCAGAGAGAGACTGCTAGCGCAGCAGCTCAGGAGTGCAGAGGGCCGAAGAGATGTGGGGAGGTGGGGGGCGTTGGGAAGGGGGAGTCCTCCCCTCCACCCTCTCCATCCCCTGGCGCCCAGGGACTCTATGGCCACGAAACAGGCTCAAGCTAACACTTCCCCACGGGATCCGCAGAGCACCCGCACCCAAGATCACACGACCTAACGCTTTCTCACACAGGCAAAGGCCTGCAGGACCAGCACCTGCCTCCTGCGTCCGGCAGGTCAACCAGAAATGGCCCAGTGGGAATGACACTGGGTGTCCAGGGCATCAACCCACGTACTTTCCCACTTCTCACCCCCCACCTCCCGCCCTGCCACCCTTCCAGTACCCACACAGGATCCTGCTGAAAGCCGCCAAACAACCCTGGCAGGCTCTGAGGTGAAGGGTGGTCCTGAGAGACGGCGCGAGGCTTGGGACAGTATGGAGAGCGGGAGGAGGGCACGGGGTCTGGAAGCCATTTCTGTGTCTCCTCAGCCTTTGGGGGGGAGTGCGGGGAGCCCGGGAACCGTCCTCTCTGGGAGGAGCTAGGGATTTTTCTCCCTCCCTCTTCTTTCGCTCCCGGCGGGGCTTCCCTCGGCCCCCAGGCCTGAAATTTCCTCCAGCGGGGTTTGCCTGGCGCCAACAGGAAAACCTGCCCCTCTCCCCAAACCCGCCCGAGACGGACCCTCACCGGCACCCGAGAATCCCCAAAGTCTTATTTACCGAAACCCTTTGCAGAGCCCTCCTCCAATGCCCCCTCCGGACCCGGCTCCACCGCGATGCCCTCATGTAAAATTCCCCCCAAAAGTGTCGTCAGCGCCGCTCACCTGGCTGGCATCCCGGGCCGATCCCGCCTCCCTCCGCGGGGCGGCGGCTGTGGGGGGCACCCCACGCCGACCCCCACCCCGACTCACCCAGAAGAGCATGTTGAAGAAGAAGAGCAGGTATTTCACCAGCGGGCTGACGAAGGAGAAGTCGTCCCCGGAGGCAGCCGGCGCCCCGGGTCTGCGCGCCATGGCCCGGGGGGCCTAGCTCCCGGCGGCGGCCGGCCCACCTGCGCGCTCGGCGTCCGGGGGCATGAGCCGCGCGGCGGCGGCGGCGGGAGCCCGGGCGGGCGGCAGGGGCGGCGGGAGCCCGGGCGGGCGGCAGGGGCGGCACGGCCCGAGCCGTGCGTCGCAGCCGCGCGGCCAAGGGAACTGCGCCGCCTCCGGGGCCGCCGGGAGCCGCCTGAGCGCGCTGCGGGCAGCGGGAGCCGCGGGAGCCGCCGAGTCTCCAGCGCCGCGCAGGACCAGCCAGCCAGCCCGGCCAGCACCGCCGGCTCCGGGGAGACCAGGCCCGCCCCCCGGCCGCCCATTGGCGCGCCTGCCGGAGCCTGACTTCTCATTGGCTGGTGGCTGATGTCACTAAGCGCCCAGCCATCCCTCTCCTCCGAGAGGCGGGGGAGACACCTGTTCTATGAGGGGACAACTTGCTAAGGGGTCAGCGGTTCTGCGGCCTCCCTTCCAGCCTCCAGCTCCCCCGCGCCATCGGCTTCCCCGGAGGAGAAAGGCATCCAAGCCGCAGCTGTTCAAAGGGAAAAAGAATGGGGAGAAGGAACACACACTGGCTCCCCCACCCACGCCCTCCACCCAGCTGCTGTGCACGCCAGGCAAACACATATACATTACAATCAACAAGTACGCATACCACGGTGTGTGGAACAATGCACCGAAAGCCGTGAGGACAACACAAAATAGATAATCCCCGTGTGTGTGGGGAGGGGGGGTGAAAGGGGGGGGTATGGCGCTAAAATCAGGGAGACATACCTACACTACAGATTGGAAACCACTACGCTGAGTGAATGCCATCCTGTTAGCAACCATCTCTTACTGTGTATTACAAGAGCTGTACATGGGGACATCACGGATAGTCCTGCAGTTCTCATTCATTGGCATCTCATTTTTGTCCCTCTGTTCCGCTCCTGGTGGCCTACACACAGACGCGGTTCCTCACATACTGATCTGACGTGCCTGAGCTAGGTGTAGAAGTGAGAGCCCTCACTGGCTGCCAGGAGTAAGACAAGCGGGAGTTTGGGGAAGGGACTGATTCTACCCCTTCTCCTGCAAGCACCAGCATCACACATAGGCACTGGTTCATGTCCCAGCTCCTCCACTTCTGATCCAGCTCCTTGCGTGTGATCCCGGAGGGCATCGGAGGATGGTCCAAAGTCTTGGCGCCCTGCACCTGCAGACTCCGCTGGCGAGAGCCTGGCGTATACACAGCAGAGCAGTGGAAGAGAGTGCTGACTGATGACAGTATGTGTGGAATTGAGTTAAAATTGTGGAAGGACTTGAACATCAGATCAATGAGTTGATGCTCAGTTGATTTGGAAACAAGACTTTTGAAAAAGGGAGTGATGCCAGACCTGCTCTCTTCAAGGAGGCTGGAGAGAGGAGTGTAAGGAAGTCACCATTCATAGTCCAGATAATCAGAAATTAGAATTTCCTTTAAGGGTAACAGGCCTATGATAGATTGCTGAGAGAAGATAGCAGTGATGTCACTGGGAAGAGAATTTCAAAGGCTGAGCTGAGGTCAGGGGTAGTGGGGACAGGAGCACACAGGCTGGGGACCCAAGAAGTGGATCAGGGTTAGGCTGCTGGAAGATTGGCCATTTAATCAGTTAGTTGATAGGTACTAGCACCATGGTATAGTAGGTTAATCTTGTAACTGTGACACGGCATCTCATGTGGATGCTGGTTCAATTGCCAGTTGCCCCACTTCCCATCCAGCTCCCTGCTGGTGGCCGGAGAAGGAGAATGACCCAAAGCCTTTGGGATCTGCACCCGTGTGGGAGACCTGGAAGAAGCTCCCGACTTCAGACCAACCCAATTCTGGCCACTGAGGCTATTTAGGGAGTGAACCAGTGGGTAGAAGATCCTCTCTGTGTCTCTCCTTCTGTCTGTGTGGCAGAGGGTATTTCCCGAAGAGGTTAAGGAATGGATGGGTGTCCAAAGGGAAGACCTATCCCCAGATGTTAGAGGGTTGAAGGTAGAGAAATAGACTGAGCTGTTGAATGCTTCCATTCAAGAAACTTCTGTTAGTAAGTCAAGGGCAAGTCACAAGGAGACAAGGAAGGAGTGGACACTGCATGAAGTCAGAACAGTGGCAGGCTCTTTCCAGAGCTTGAGGAATACTGGAGCCTACAGTGGCCCAGAGCACAGGGACGTCCTTCCAGCCCGCAGGAGTCATAACCTGCCAGTAGTGGGAGGAAGAAGCCAGAAAACAAGGATGGGACAAGCTGTTGGAGTTCATGAGTAGAACTGGGGCCAATCAAGAGTCAGTAATGCAGCCCGGCGCCGTGGTCTAGCAGCTGAAGTCCTCACCTTGCACATGCTGGGATCCCATATGGGCACTGGTTCTAATTCCAGCAGCTCCCTGCTTCCCATCCTGCTCCCTGCTTGAGGCCTAGGAAAGCAGTATAGGATGGCCCAAAGCCTTGGGACCCTGCACCGGTGTGGGAGACCCGGAAGAAGCTCCTGGCCCCTGGCTTCAGATTGACTCATCTCTGGCCGTTCTAGCCACTTGGGAAGTGAACCAGTGAATGGAAGATATTTCTTTCTGTCTCTCCTTCCCTCCATAAATCTGACCTGCCTTCCAAATAAAAATAAGTAAATATGTATTTTTTTAAAGGTGATGAGCACGATGTTCAGCATGTGGATGTCAAGGCTGGCGTTCCAGCAGGAAGCCACACTGCTGGAGATCAGAAATGAGGACTCAGTGCACTGAGCTGGAAAGAGCTCCAAGAGAAGTTATCAATGGGAAAAGCCACGTGAGGAATAATGTATGGAATATAGCATGTTCTGGGTGCCAAGACAGCGAGCCAGTGGTGCAGTCACGAAGACCCATAGGGGCATTTGTTCTGCTGCATTGCGTGCTAACTGCTCTGACCCAGGCCTTCGATGTGGAAATAAGCAATTGGCTCATTCAGATAGACTGTGGGTGTTTCCTGTTACAGTTTAATGGAATCCTTCAGTACCTTCTCGATTATGTTTCATTGCATGTGATTAAAAGCATTGTGCAGTTTTGTACTGTGAATGCAGGTGTTTCTTTTTAGGATCTTATTACTGAGGCTGGCACTGTGGCAAAGAAGGCAAAACCTTTGCCTGCAGCACTACCACCATCCTGTAAGGGCACTGGCTTGAGTCCTGGCTGTTCCACTTCCACTCTAGTTCCCTGATGGTGCTCCTGGGAAAGCAGCAAAGGGGGGTCCAAGCATCTGGATCGTTGCCACTCATACAGGAGACTCAGATGAAGCTCCTGGCACCTGGCTTTGGCCTGGCCCAGTCTTAGCTGCTACAGAAATTTGGAGAGTGAATTAGCAAATGGAACATTTTTCTCTTTGGCTTTGCCTCTCCCTATCTGTAACTCTGACTTTCAAATAAATAAATATAGCTTCAAAAGTTTTATTAATTAATTTATCTAAAAGGTAGATGAACAGGAGCTGGTACATTGGCTCAACAGGCCAATCCTATTCCTCTAAGCTTGGGCATCCCATATGGGCACCAGTTCATGTCCCGGCTAATCTACTTCCCTTCCAGCTCCCTGCCTGTGGCGTGGGAAAGCAGTCCAGGACGGCCCAAAAGCCTTGAGACCCTGCACCCACATGGGAGACTCAGAAGAAATTCCTGGCTTCTGCCTTCGGATTGGCTCAGCCTTGGCTATTGTGGCCGCTTGGGGAGTGAACCAGCAGATGAAAGATCTTTCTCTTGGTCTCCCCTTCTCTCTGTAAATCAGCCTTTCCATTAAAATAAATACAATCTTTAAAACAGAATAACAGAAAAAGAGAGTGACAAAGTTCTTTCATTTGCTGATTCACTGCCTAAGTGCCCACCGTAGTTGGGGTTGTACCAGGCTGAAGCCAGGAGTCAGGAACACTCTTCAGGATTCCCAAATGGGTGGCAGGGACCCAGCTACCCAAGCCAGTATTGCAGTGTGCATGAACAGGAGGTTGGAGTTGAGAGCAGGGTAGGGACCAGGCCCCAGGCACCATGAGAGAACACGTGTGTCCCAAGCATCGTCTCAACTGCTGTGCCACATGTCTGCTCCTTACAGATGCTTCTTACACACATCTTTCTTGTTCTTATGTAACTTGGTTTTTTTTTTTTTAACACATTTATCTTTATTGGAAAGTAGATTTACAGAGAGAAGGAGAGACAGAAAGATCTTCCATCTGCTGGTTTACTCCCTAAATGGCCACAGTGGCTGGAACTGCACTGTTCCAAAGTCAGGACCCAGGGCCCTATTCCAGGTCTCCCAAGGCTTTGGGCCGTTCTCCACTGTTCTCCTAGGCCAGGAGCAGGGAGCTGGATGGGAAGGGGAGCAGCCAGGACATGAATAGGCACCAAATTGGATTCCTGCACTTGCAAGTGGAGGATTAACTAATTGAGCCACTGCAACAGGCCCTGTTTTTGTGTAACTTGTGAACTCTCAACTGCTACTATTCTTTTTCATTTCCTGAGAGGATGTAGTAAAATATGCCCCTTGCAATTATAGCAAGAGAGGGCGAGAGACAGACAAGAAAAAAATACACACTTGTGTTTACTTGCAGCTAACTAAGGCCGGAAGGAAATGTAAGGCATTAAGAGAGGAGATTACGCACTGTGCTGGGAATGAGCCCCAAGAAGGGTAAAAAGACTTTTGCTGTGTGCCAGTTTATTTTTATTCTGATATTTGTAGCATGGAATGTATTAACTATTCAAAATAAAAATGTTATAACAAGTTTTTTTAAATCCATAAATTACATGTTCATGGAATGCTGTGTGGCCATTTGAAATGGCGCAGAAAACCCATGGGCTGTCGCTGGAAAAAATCCATGGTACGGGAAGAGGAAAACGCACATTGCAGAATAAAGCTCAGGAAACCTCAGGGACGAGCCCTTGGCACAGCAGCCAAGATGCGACCCGAATCCCCCGTGTGTCGCAGCACAGTGCCAGGGCTTGAGGCTCGGCTCGGCTTCTGATTGCAGCGTCCTGCAGACGTTCGCCCTGGCATGGCTCGGGCACTTCCAGCCAGATGGGACACCTGGCTCTTGGCCTTGACTGCCCCAACTCTGTTGCGGGC